ATGTTTCTAACTTTCTATCCCTCTCCCTTCCTCTCTATAAAAAAAAAATCAATAAAATATATTAAAAAGCTACATGTGGGTAGTGGCTATCATATTGGGCACCACAGAATAGAATCAATTATCAATACAAAGGAATAAAAGACTGACACCAGTCTAATTCTATGCCAAAACAGAATAAACAATTGCTCTTTTCCCCCACCAAAAGAAAGTGAAACAGGGTTTTCAGGGACAAAGGTTATGGTCTGAAAACTTGAAACATGATGCAATTGTTGCTCTAATCACTGAAAAATTAAAAATCCAAATTAGGAACTCAATAAATGGGCACATGAAGGTATAAAAAAGGCTGCCAGTAAACAATAAAGTATTACAGTAAAAATAAGCCTTTAAATCTAGTTTCAAAACTGAATATAAAATTAAAACTATTCTCTACTTATATTTAATAAAACAGAGTTTCTTAAGACATTAAAAAGAAACACCTAAATCTGCTTCTATGATGTTTCAAAAAACACACAGGATACAAAATCCTAAAAGTAAATGAGTGAGAAAAAAGTATGTACTGTATAACATTAATATAAAGAAAAGTTGAATGTAAGACAAAAACAACTACTGGAAAAAGAAGCTGTAACTATGAGGATATAATTATATAGAACTTTATACTAGACAACAATGAAAATTTAAAAAAACCCACATAATGGACTATAAATATTAGCAGAAACTACCAAAACATTTTGACCAAAATGCTATACTATACACTTAATCTTAGCCAAAGGCCAAGAAGAGATCAACCAAAATGCTATAAAAATTAATAATTAATAACAAAAGATTTAAAAAGAAAAACTAACCATTTGGAATTTGGAAACTCAATTCTTAACTCTTGAGAAAATAACTAAAAAACTCAAAGGCAATCTACAAATAGCAAAAGGAACACTTGCCACTTCAAAGGCTGTGGAATGACATCCAAAGCTACCCTCAGAAGAAAATTTAAAAAGTTAAATGCTTTTATTATTATAAAAGAAAGAACAGAAAAATTAACTAAGCCATCTGAATAAAGGCAAAAAAGGGAGGGGGAGTGAGAAGACCACAGGAAGAAGGAATTAACAGCAAAGAACTGGTCTTTGAAATAACTATTAAAATAGAAAAACTGCTAAAAAGGTTAATCAAGAAAGAAGACTAAATATAAGTAAGACTAAGAAATGGATATAACCACTGATACATGGATTTAACAATTAAGAATGCTTTCTATAAAATTCTGTATTTGTAAATTTGAAAAGATAAAAAAATGTAAGGCTATATTCATCATTCTCTGTTCATCACAAAATATTAGTTCAAAGCATTACAAATTCTTTTGTCTTGAGGACAGTTCATTAGAGCTTGTATTTTTATTTATTTAATCTCAATTTTTCAAATTGTATGGTGCATATATAAAATACTCATAAAAGTTTAGAGGTTTGTGTTCTAAGCACTGGGTAACTTCTGAGTATTCTAAGTAGCTTTAATTCCTAAGGAACTACAATTTTCCACATGGCACTCTTTCTTCTTCCCAAAAGATTAGTACTGCAAAGTTGGGCCTCCAAAGTCTATCACAGGAATCCACTATCAAAAAAGAACACATCCCACTTGATATGAAATTCTTCACTTTTAATATGAACTCATAATTATTTTGGTTCTTTAGTCTTCAACCACAAATATCATGGCACTAGGCCTTAAGAGAATGTCCTATATGTCCTCAAGTGTGATGTAAGAGGAAAAAGTGGAGGCCCACTGGAAATTCTATAGAAGCTAACTTAAAAATTTATCCCAAAGCAATCTTCCTATATAATTATACTCTTCCAACAGACTATAAAACATTAAATCATGCCAGAACATTGCCACGCCATTTGATAAATGCTATTTTTTAAAAATTAAAAAGTGCTAAGTCCAACCCCCAAATTTCAAGGCATATTATTTTTTTCTTTTTAAAATACCATCTGTAATATGATTTACTCAATTTATAAAAGCATTCCACTTGACAAAATAAAAAGCAACCCAACACTGGTCCCAGATTTATTTTTAAAATTTGTTTGACCTAAAATCTCACTATCTAGAAACTAATGTTTTAGATTGTCATAAACATCTGCCTTACAGAAGCAGCAGGGCACAAAATAACATGACATATATTATAAAAACTTCCCACTTGAATATTTCCTTTCTGGCTTAGCTAAATCACTAACATCTAACATACTAGACCCTTAAAGTGAAGAATATAAGTAACAATATAGATAAGTTATAATGATCAGCCCTTATATTACAATGAATTCATGATATAGGGAAATAACCCAAATCTAACACCTAAAGATGACAGAAGGCAAGATGCTTGCTCAATAGCAAATATCACTGTAAATAACCAAGATATTTCCGACTTTCACCTTTATTTCCGACTTTGGCCAGTATTTCTGCTATAACCAGCAAATGGTTTATTTTCCAAACTCAATTTATTTCTTTGATTTATTTTCTATGCAGCTTATTTTTACATATGCCGGGATGATTGTTTTATTTATTTTATTTACTTATTAATCCTCACCCAAGGAAATGTTTATTGATTTGAGAGAGGAAGGAAGAGAGGAAGAGAGGGATAAGGGAGGGAAAGCGGGAGAGAGAAACATCAATGTGAGAAACATTAATCAGTTGCAGCAGATTCAGATGAACCTGCAATCTACTTATGTGCACTGACCGGGAATCAAATCCACAAGCTTTTGGTGTATGGGACGAACAGGACGATGCTCCAATCAACTGAGCCACCTGGCCAGGACAGGATGAATGTTTTAGAAATTGGTATTGGAATCAAGGGGTCTTTAGTATGCTCTGTGCGTCTCTTCCTTGCCTCAACTGTTTTTTAAAAATGTATGTGTACCTTCAAATATTAATGAGAAACCTGCAAAATATCTTAGTCTTTTCTTTTCTGGCATTTGGTAGTTCAGGCAGTCTGAAGAATAAACGAGAAAAATGGTACAGCCTGACAGTTAATTTTCACTTATAATACTTTTCTTAAAAAAAAAAACACAAAAAAACCCATGGTAACATCATACAGTTTAAATGCATACTATAACAAAATAAGCTAAGTACTGAAAATCCACTGTCCAAATATTAATGGTTCCAACAATTCTCTTCTCTACCCTCCCCTTTGTCATTAGTTTTTCTCATCAGCAAAAGTATTGTAACAGCTCTATCTTAAGAAAGATTCCCCTTGAAACAGGCTATTTCTCTGCCTACCTTTACAGAAAACATTCTTTGATAGTATATCTACAAGTTTCCTCAATTCCTTCCCTCCCATTCTCTCCTGTATCTTCTCTGATCAGAATTCACTCTTCTCCCTCTAACAAAACTGCTCATAAAGTTCTCCAACAACCCTGACCCGCATCATATCCAATGGTCAAGTCTCAATTTTGTCTAACTTGACCTATCTGCAGCACCTAAGACATGATCATTCCTTCCTCTCTGAAACACTTTTCTTCACTTGCCTTCCACATACCACACTTAGTTTTCCTTCTACTTCACTAGTCACTCCACTCCTTCCTCCTACTCTCTTCCTTATCTTTCTTATCTACAAGCCTTGGAATGCTCAAGGCTTAATTCCATCTGAACAACCAGATGTTCCTCATTCCTTTCCTCTGCTGCATTTTTTTCCACCCCAGCACTTAACATTATAGGACATAACGTAAGCTCCATTTATTATTTCATGAGATTAAGGATTTTTGTCTGTTTTTGTTTAGTGTAGTCCCAGTATACAGAACAGATATAACTCATTGTAGGAGCTCAATACATATTTTTGGATGAGTGAATGCACAAAAACAAGTAATAACAGCAACAGCCACTTTGTACTAGTAACTTATGAGCCAGACACCCCAATAAGCAAGTTACATGCATTTCATTTAACACTCAAACAATCCTATGAGATCTCAGAGGCTGGAGGTAGAGTGGGGGTGTTGGAAGAGGTATTAACTTGCTCCAAATCACAAAACTAGTGGCAGTGCCATGATTTTAACCCAAGTTTATCCACTTCAAAGTTAATACTCTTAAACATTACATGACATTAATTTTACTGGAGTATTATTTCATTAGTTTTGGGATAAATCCAACTCTGCTATTTGAAAAGTCAGCAATCAAACTTCCTATAGTTGTGAATCAATCTCCATTTTCTTTGTCAAGACAAACATTCAGTTAGCAACCAATTTAGAAATTTTAATGGAAATTCGTATTTAAAAGAAAAGCACTCTACGTTATCATTTTTAGTGATAACAGTACAAATGAGAAGACACACCAATGTTTTTCAAAATGTTGATGGCAGCATTTCAACTTCCTCTATCCCATTTCGATTAAAAAGCTTAAGCCAATAGTTTCCAAACCTGGCTGCAAAGTCATCTAGGAGTTTTTTGTTTTTTTAAAAACAAGATTTCCAGGTCTAACTCAAAAGCAAGTGATTCAGAATCTCTGGGAAACCAGGGTTAAGGAGCCTAGTATTATTTAAAACTCACCAGGAAACCTTGGTGGTTGGCCAAGTTTGGAAAATATTAGTTAAACGAAGCAAAATTGGCAAAAGACTAATACTTCTGAGCATCTGGCTTATCTAAACTAATAAAAGGGCAATATGCTAATTAGGGTGGACGTCTTCTGCACATCCATCTGGACAAAGCCACAGCGTCTGTGAGGCCTGGGGCTCACGGCAGCTGTGGGCTCAGGCCTCTCAGCTGCCGCGACCAGCAGTGGCGGCAGCAGCAGCAGGGTGATGGGAGCAGCGCCTTCCCCTGATGAGCCTGGTCGCCTCCCACAGAGAGAGGCCAGATTGCTCACATGGGGAGTGGGCCTAAGCTGTCAGCAGGACTTCCCCTGAGGGCTCCTGGACTGTGAGGTGGGGCAGGCCGGGTTGAGGGACTCCCCCACTCCCACCCCCACCCCCAGTGCACGAATTTTTGTGCACCAGGCCTCTAGTGGTTTAATAATGATCAAACCTCACTGGTACTAACCTTCTTGGAAAGAGGAACGATGCTGTTGGGTCGAACAAGCCTCCGTTTCTTACAGCTCAGCAAAGGACGTGTTCGGGCTGCCACACAGGTGCCATCAGTTGATGAAGACACTAGATTCAGTCGTTGTTTTTTATGTAATTGTTCCTCAGCATCAGAGTTGTCACCTGGAATTTGGTCCGCCAAGACCGGCTGCAGCCTACACAAGAGGAAGGAATAATATTCACTTTTCAGAAGACTCACAAAAACAAAGCCTCTAATATTGGTTCAACCTCCTCTACTTGTAAATAGCCACAGACATACATAAGTATTCTGAAGCAGGAGTTCATATCCCGATGCTGATGACTGCTAACCTTTAGGAATTTAATTTGTTGTGGAATAGAGGATTTTATGCAAACACTTCTGAGGAATTCTACCAACACTATGACCAATCACAGTGTTTCACAATAATTGTAGGACCTTTCACTTTTCTACATGATGAGTCAATTTTAGGCGTCAGTAAGTAAAAGGGAAATACATCAGCATGCTAATTATACTTGCTACAGTAGAAGATGTGCACAATATTACTATGTGATGAGGTTTCTGTCTTTAAACCAGGGTTAGCCCTGGCTAGGAGTAACTTAAGAGCTCTTTTACAAGCATATTGAGTGTAAGAAGTGGAAGAGATAACTTACGTGTTAATAACTCCATTGACAGGTCTCAATGCTCCATATGATTTGGTAGATAATGACTCTGAAGAATGACCAGAGGCACCATGGTTTTCCAGTGGCTGAGAAACAGATTCGGTCTGAATAAGGAAAAGAAAACAAAAATACACTATCAACAACATTTAACCAACAGCACCCAGTCTGAAATACAGCACCATTTCATTTAAATAAAATATGTAAAATTTCTGATGAACAACTTGAAAAATGAAATTTGTATGACTAAAGAAAAAAAAAAGAACATTAATTAGCTTTTGCTTTGGGAGAAGTGGGTGTGAGGAACCATAATATTTAGCAGACTAATAGTAATAAGAGCTTACTGAGAGGGAAATGACCTAAACCAGTGGTTGCCCACCTTTCGCACCTCACGGACCACCAGTGGTCCACAGACCACGGGTTGGCAACCACTGACCTAAACAATTCAACAGAACAAAAGGTTAGCAAAAACAATTACATAAGAAGTAACAAGAGTCTTCAACTAAAAGTCAAGAATATGTAAGTTCAGTACTGAATCAGATAAGAGGAAATTTAAATGACTTATTTCTGCTTAACTTCAGTGGTTGCTGAAAGCCTGTTTCCAGAAAACCATAATTTGTTCAAAATCACGTATATATTTGTGTTAAAAATAAAAAACCAATAAAATCTCAATGAATAACTAATTACCCAATGTTATCAGGTAGTAACTATTTTCTTCGGACTATACAAATCTAATATATGCTTAGAAACAGTAAAAATAATTTTAAAAAGGAAGGTGGAAAGAATCTGGAAAGTTTTAAATATTTTGAAGCAAATTATATATTTACTAGGCTCAGAAGGGATAGGGTTAGCCATGAGCTGTCAATCATATGGAGTCTCTGAAGTATCTATAATAATAAAAGCGTAATATGCAAATTGACGAAATGGCCGAACAGCAGAATGATAATCCAGATGACCACGCTGTGACACCCACTGGCGCCAGGCCAGCCAAGGCGGGTGTGATGCGATTGGTCAGGGGCCCAGCCATCACCCCATGATTGCCCTGCAAAGGGAGGCCCAGGAAACCAGCCGGCGGGGTGATCGATCAATTGGGGGGGTCCATGATCGCCCCAAAGAGGGAGGCCCAGGTTACCCTGTGATGGCGCTGCAGCGGGTGGGCAGGGCCTACCTCTTTGGGTTGATCCATCACGGGGCTCCCAGACTGTGAGAGGGCACAGGCCAGGCTGAGGGACCTCTCCCCCCAGTGCACACATTTTGTGCACCAGGCCTCTAGTAGGCAATAAAGCCACAGATGCAGTTATCCCTCAGCTCTGTGAGTTGTTGGAATACCACGGTATGGCTGTGTTCCTTGTCACCTTACATTTAGAATGACTTAGCAGGTGTTCTGAGGTTCTCCTTCCTGCATACCAAAGCCAATATTTTTTATTTTTTTTATTTCAGAAAGGAAGGGAGAGAGAGATAGAAACATCAATGATGAGAGAGAATCATTAATCAGCTGCCTCCAGCACAGGGGATAGAGCCCACAACCTAGCATATGCCCTGACTGGGTATTGAACTGTGACCTCCTGGTTCATAGGCTGATGCTCAATCCCTGAGGCACACTGCCTGGGCACAAAGCCAATATTTTGAGCTGAAATTCTATTAAATATTGCTCAATTTCATTTTTATCTTTTCAACGACAGGAGAAAAACACCAAAGGTTCTGCCGTTTTGAGAACAGTCATAGACAAGTATCAAGAAAGGAAAGATAATTTAAAAGTTTTAATACAAATTATCCAAAAAGTTAGATCAAAGTAGGATATAATAAACAGGTAAGACATACCAGTATACTACAATGAGTGAACACTGGGAAACTGTCCGTCTTCTTCTTCAGCTACCCTGTACATCTACTAAGGCAGTGGTCAGCAAACTGCAGCTCGCGAGCCAGCTGCATGTGGCTCGCGAGCCGCAGTTTGCTGAGCTGCAGTTTGCCGACCACTGTATCAAGGTATCACAAATATCTTGAACAATTACATTAGTTAATGATGCCAAAATTATGGTAAATTGGCACACATCTTCATTGCCTTAAATGCTATACTGACTTTCTTTTGAAAAGTAATGTGACATTAAGTCGTTATAAAGATGTTCAAATCGTTTGGTAAAGTATTTTACTCAACACTAAAAATCTATCTTAAATAATTCAACCAATACTTTCCTGTTGGGCACACCAAACAAGTCAGTCCAAGACTAATGACGTGGCAAACAGCTGCTAAAATATTCGCTGCTAGTATTAGTGGAGAGAAATGGTGGGCCTGCACATAAGGCGCATAAGGGAAATGAATGCAACACAATTATAGTAATCAGTCATTAGCGAACGTTGTAGTGCATTATTAATAATTATGTATATCAGAATATTATAAAAATTAAGTTACACATTTTTTATTAAAACATTTCTTATATATCATTATATTGGCTGGGCCGCAAAAATATTCACTGTGGGCCGCATGTAGCCTGTGGGCCAGGAGTTTGGCATGCTTGCTATACCGGATGAAGCTCCAACCAACTGAGCCGCCTACCCAGCCAGGGCTGCATCCAGTGGTTTCTTTTTTTTTATCACAGGTTGGGGCCCTTTAAAATAACTTAATTTCAGCCTTGGCAGATATGGCTCATTTGGCTGGAGCATCGGCCTGTGCACAGAAAGGTGCTGGGTTCGATTCCTGTTCAGAGCATATACGGAAGGCAAATTGATCAATGTTTCTCTCTCTCTCTCTCTCTCTCTCTCATTAAAAAAAAAAACACAGGAAGTTGGTAAAAGCACTACTCATTGAAAAAAGGTTCATAGGTTTAAATATGTTCCTTGTGAGGATTTAAAATTTTTCTAAAAATAACTTAGTTTCAGCAATGTCTGTACTGTGCTCACAACCAAAGCAGATAGGGGTGTGTGTGTGTGTGTGTGTGTGTGTGTGTGTGTGTGTGTGTTGTGTGTGTGTGTGTGTATGTGTATGTGTTCTCTTTTTTAAAAAGTCATGCAATTTGGAGATGAGGCAAAAAGATGATTGTGTCCTTTCAGTGGAACACTGGAACATCATGTAACAAGCCCACCTAAAGGTCATTATGACTCTCCATCAATTATTTAACTTTGTTTTACTTTTTATAATTGCTGAGTGACAGATGCCTTAAGTTGGATATTTATATTAGAATATTAACATGCTAAAATGAATTTGTGTTTATTTTTTAATCCTCACTTGAGGATATTTTTTCCATTAATTTTTAGGGAGAGTGGGAGAGAGAGGGAAATATCAATGTGAGAGAAACACATCAATTGATGGCCTCCTGTACAAGTCTTGACCAGGCCCTAAGTCTGGGGAGGAGCCTGCAACCAAGGTACATGCCCTTGACCTGAATCGAACCCAGGACCCCTTTGGTCTGCAGGCTGACACTCTATTCACTGAGACAAAAAGGCTAGGGCTGATTTGTATTTAGTTGAAAACATAACTCCAAAGGTTATGGCTCTATTAGTCTGCAGGATATTAATAAAGTTTGTATGCTATTGAGTAATCTTATTTTCCAGCACTCTCCCTTTCAATGACTACATATACAAATCAGTACCTAGTATAAAGATACTGTTACCAGCCAACATTCCCATCTTAATCAGTTACTATGTACTTCTTTGAGAATTCTGTCTAACTTCTTGAAACTATATTTTGACAGCTTTAAAAAAAAACAACCCTAGCCGAAACCGGTTTGGCTCAGTGGATAGAGCGTCGGCCTGTGGACTGAAAGGTCCCAGGTTCGATTCCGGTCAAGGGCATGTACCTGGATTGCGGGCACATCCCCAGTAGGAGATGTGCAGGAGGCAGCTGATCGATGTTTCTCTCTCATCGATGTTTCTAACTCTCTATCTCCCTTCATCTTTGTAAAAAATCAATAAAATATATTTTAAAAAAACAAAACAACCCTGGGGTATTTTTTGTTGTTAATCCCAGCGAGTTTCAGAAATGAAAACACAAAAATCAACACAACAAAACAAAAAATACCCCTGACAATATTTTTAAACCACAAGTCTTCAAACTGGGGAGGAAGAAAGGGTAATATAAATATACAGTTCTATTTTAGTGGGGGGGAGGGGACGGGCAGGGGCGAGGGAGGAGACTAGGGAAGTTAAATGTGAAATGTGAGTATGAAAATTTACAACTGCCCCTGCCAAATGTGACCTAACATTTTTTACAGTAAAACTGAGAAGTCAAGATACAAATCACTTTTCAAAAAACAAAAAATAAGCTGGGTAACAAAAAGGCAAAATTAAAGTGCCCTCCTACAATGAAAAACTGTGTAGCAACTGACATATTACGCACGCTTGGCAAATATTTGGCATTTAAAAAAAGGAAGTGCCTGGCCGGCATGGCTCAGTAGTTGAGAGTCAACCTATGAACCAGGAGGTTGAGGTTCGATTCCAAGTCAGGGCACGTGCACGGGTTGCAGGCTTGATCCCCAGTGTGGGGCATGCGGGAGGCAGCTGATCAATGATTCTCTCTCATCATTGATGTTTCTCTTTCTCTCCCCACTCCCTTCCTCTCTGAAATCAATAAAAATACATTTAAAAAATACAAAATAAAAATCAATGAATACATATCTTCGGGTGAGGATTAAAAAACATTTCTTGGGGCACAACAATTGAAAATCGCTGTAATAAAATGGAAATGTAATGCCTTCTGTTGGCATTTGTTTTCTTCAGAAAGGCACTTTCTAAAGATTGACCTCTCCTTGAAGACAGAGTGACAGTGTATACTTGTTTTCATACTTATCAATTCTAATGAATCAAAAAGCAATCTATTGTACAATGTAGAAACTACTGTGGTCAACAACAATGCGGTATTAAGAAGATAGTCTTGATCTTCAAGAATGTTACAACCTAATATGGGTCATACACATGCAAGTGAATGGTGAGGTAGGAATAGAGACAAATCCATAAATGGAGCACACATGTGCACATATGTGAATGTGTATAAATGTAACAATGAGAATGAGCAACACAATGACACTATCGTATCCTATCCTCCTAAGTGCTGAGTACAAGAGAGCACCAGAAAAATTTTGGAATCCTTAAATTCTATATGCAAATATATAAATGTCTATGCAAAACTGACTCAGAATCACATATACTTCAAATCTCATGTTTCCAATAAATAACATATTACCAGCTGACCTTCCACGTCACTAATATGTTTTCTCTCATCTGTAACAAGTTTTATCCTAGTTAGAACAATCACTAGAATAGGTACACAAATGATTTAAAAAACTACTTTCCAGTTAAGAACCATCAACAAATCTCTAAATGTCTTGCATTTACCCCTAGCATCAGTGGCTGGCTTTATTTAAGCACTCTCATTAGGAAAGTTAGTTTCTACCATATCATATGAGTTCCTGCTAACAATAATGATAAAGGCTAACAAGCTTTGCTGATCTGCAGATGCAAGAAGACAAGCTAGTTTAACCCACAATTTAAAGATGTAGCCCTGCTTACTAGCCTCCCAAATAACTGTCATGGGACTTTGGAATTTCTAACAAATTACTTAAGTCAAGAAATGCAAATATTAATAAAAACCAGTGACATTCTGAGGGAAGTAAAAAAGTGAAAGAAACAAAAAGTGTTATTGGAAATCAAACGAAAAGACATTAACCTTGGCGTTGAGAGAAACTGGACCCAGAAGATTACAGAAAATGACAGTGTTATCCTCGTTACAGAATTAAAAGGAGTAACCCATACAGAATGTGCAGCATGTGAATTAAACCTCTAGCCCAACCTTTGATTTTATAGCGGCCCAGAAAGGTTGCCTTTCTTGTCAAAGGTGCCAGAGCCATGTGTTTTCCTGATTCCCAGTAACACTCCCTAATGCCACAATGCTCTGGCTGCGTTGTCTTGAGAGTTGGGAGCTAATTTTGAACTCTTAAGGTCAGCTACACAGCAGTAGGAGGAGCTATGTACTGCCATATTCAGGAATTCAGATCTTTAAATGCTGAAAGGATAAAAGGGGATGCACTACCCTTCTTCCAGCCAATGCAAGGATCCTTCTAGTAGAATAAATTGTATGTTCATACTACACCCCGAATTCGCATTCATGTCCCCCTTTCTGTATTTATACTTACCAATTTATCATTCCCATGATCTGTCTTCACCTCAGAACTAAGCACTAAGTCTGCTGTTGCATTCTCTGGAGGAGGCGCCTCTCCAAGAACTACCAACCCCTAAAAGACACAGAGAAAATCAGCACAAGTGAGTGGTATTAAAAGTTACAAATTTAATTTAAAAGTTAATATCAAAAGGATTAGGGGAAGGGGACCGGTTTACCAGAGGCCTTTTCCCTCATGCTATGCTTTCCCAAGAGTTATTTCCACAAAAATTCTAGCAATAGCCATAAGGTCTGAGACTCAGACCCAAGCTTCTACTTTCTTTCATTTGAATGTTACCCTTCCCATTGGCTAATCAGGGCGATATGCAAATTAACTGCCAGCCAAGATGGCGGCCGGCAGCCAGGCAGCTTAAACTGAACATGAGGCTTGCTTGCTTCAGTGACAGAGGACTGAAACATTCCCTGACTGCCTTGCTGGCCTCTGAGCCTGCAGTTTGAAACATTGTAACAGATATAGAAGCTAAACAAAACCCCAGAAACCAGCTTTCAGCCGGCTGAGCCGGGATCTCAGAGCTGGAGTTGATACAGAGTTTCAATTATAGAACCGAAACAAACCAGATTCCTGCTTTCAGCAGCGGAGGCCTAAGAGCTGGAGCCTCAGAGCTAAAGGTGGTCCAGAATA